CCGGGCGCTGTGGCTCACGCCTGTAATCCTAGCACTTTGGGAGGCCGAGGTGGGTGGATCACCTGAGGTCAGGAGTTCAAGACCAGCCTGGCCATCATGGTGAAACCCCACCTTTAAAAAAAATAAATCAATAAAAATAAATTTAAAAAAGAAAGAAGTAAGTCTTCCATTTGTGTGGGTGATAACATCTTTTTCCTAGATCGTACCTCAAAATTCAAGCTCTCCGTGAAAACAAAGATAATCTGAATAAAAATTTTATGTTGGAAAATGTATCAAGTGGCCTTTAGTTGAGAAAAGCACAGGCTATTTGTTAGCAAAACTTGCTTAGTTACATAATTTGTGGCTTTCTCTGCCATTGGGGTTCTTTGCATTTTGAATTCACTTGGAGCTCAGCTTTTGTTTGGCTCCTGGGTCTTGCACCCCTTCAGTTCACCGGTGACATAATAGTGATACCCCTTTTGTTTTTGTACCATTTTTGTGAATTGTGACAACCATCAGGTAATCACCTTGGCTTCAGCAGAAGTTTTAAACAACCTTTGCAGCCAGTGTCGGGGTGTGCACCAGCAGCCTGGAAGTGATCGGCATTGCTGATTAAAGCACCCCCTGCTCTGCCCACTTCCACACATTCCCATCCTCATCAGAAACCGTATTGCAGATGCTCCTCGGGTAGGTGCGGGCAGACTTCATTGTGTGTCACTAGTAAGAGTGATGTCTCTGTGAGTGCGGCCCATTCATGACACGCTAGAAATGTGTACATTCTTTTGTTTTCCATCATGGGTGTAGGTCTTCTGCCATGAAAGAGAACTGCCAAGGAAATTCCTGAAAACAAGATTGTAAATTCGATTTGACCTTCCCAGATTCAGGGCTGCTGTTGGCAGTGGGCCCTGGCCCAGCAAGTGGCCGGCATGGCTCCTGTTGGCTCATGCCAGTGTTGTGTGGGACCCTTGAATATGTGACTGTCACTCTTGTCCAAGACCGACTTTTAGCAGTCTTGATTTGTCATTTTGATACTTTTAATATATAAGAAAAATGCCATGAATACCATATAAATACCGCACCAAAAATCCTGCCACTTTATTACTTAGTAGAATTCCAAGTAGAGAGGTCTGCTTAGACACATATTTAGTTAAGGTTGTATTGTGTGTGATATTATCCTATCGTCAATAAAGTCCTACTGCTGAAAAACAGGGATTTGCAATGAAAATACGTAAGCTAAACGAAAGGCATTGTTTAGAAAGTTCCAACTATTGAAAGGGCTAGAAGGCTGCAACTTGTAAAATTGTACTCCCCAAGTTCAGTAGGATAGTAGAGAAATTGTGCTAAGTTGATTTCATTGAAACGTCACGTCTCGTATCCTGTGGTCCAAAGGTACAGTTTGTTTTGTGGAATAATTTTCTATTCACTTGTTGGTAAGAAATTTAGCAGTCAGAAGTACTTTTAAATTAATAACCTTTCTTTTAAAAAGTTGCTTTATGGTTTACAAGTAATACTGTTGCAAAAAGGATTTGTTAACCTTCTGAAGTTAAGTAGCACGCGCTTTGTTTACATGCTTCAGTATATTGTGGGGTCGGTCCCTTCTCACGAACCCAGGACCTGTGCTTGGGGAACATTCTGCCATCATGCTGTTCTCTTGTATCAAGGATCAGTGAAAGCGTTTTATCTTTTTTATGTAGTTTGTATTGACTGGATTTTATAACTGTAAGAAAACAGAAACAGAGTGTAGTATTTTGATCTGAAATTTGTGTATGCTAAAGTAATTTTATTTCATGTATTGGAAGTTCATTTAAAAACTTGAAATATTTTCTAGAAGGGTACCACATGAAATGAATTATCTTTAAGCTGTTTAATTAGCCTAATAAAATAATTTGATGGGGAAGTCATTCTAATTGTTTCTGATTTTTAGAGTGGTTCCTGCTAACTCAGCATTATCAATACAGCTTGATTTGTGAATGGAATGTTGTCGTATCTGTCATTTTAACGGTCTGAGTGTCATCTCCTAGACCCTGGTTTGCTATCTGTCTGTCCCTTGGCAGACACACACCAGTCACTGCCTGAGCCTCTTCCATCACTGTCACCATAAGTCTCCTTGCTGTCTTCCCTGAAAAATGGTTTCAAATTTGCTTTCCTCAGAAGAGAGAAATAAAATAGGTTTCAAAGGACTAGAGGACTTTGATATTAAGGGCTTAGTAATATGAGACAGAATTCCATCTGCGGAAAGCAGAATTCTCTGTAGTTCTCTTTTACTGCGCTGTCCAGAGACAATAAATCTACAATGACTGGTAGTACTTAGAAAAGATAATTCAAATACAGATCTCCACTGAAGGCAAGGGGCAAAGAGCTTAGCAACTCTCCCCTAAGGTCCAGGTTAGGTAAGGACAGGCAAGTGCGCTGGACGTCTGCAGACTCCCTCCTGAAATGACATGAAAAGAGGCAGTATTCATCTTAGGTCACAGAGCATGGCATAATGTAGGTGTGGCGAGTGGGTTTAAATTTTTTTCCAACTTTCATAACAAGGTCATATGGACCAGTGGCCTCTAGCCCTTTAAATTTTAATTTTGAGACAGGGTCTGGCCCTGTCACCCAGGCTGGAATGCAGTGGCGCGATCTCGGCTCACTGCAACCTTCACCTCCTGAGTTAAGCGATTTTCCTGCCTCCCAGGTAGCTGGGATCACCGGCACAGGCCACCATGCCTGGCTAATTTTTGTATTTTAAATTTAATAGAGATGGGGTTTCACCATGTTGGCCAGGCTGGTCCTGAACTCCTGGCCTCAAGTGATCGCTCACCTCGGCCTCGCAAAGTGCTGGGATTACAGGAGTGAGCCACCATGCCCAGCCTGTAGCCCTTTTATCTTTGGGGTGAGGGAGGGTTACTGCTGACAGAGTCTCATCCAGAAACCCGTGCCCGAGATAGAGGGATGGTCTGTCTATGGAGGAGGGCATTTTGCAGGTGGGGAGGTGAGAGGTTGACTGTCACCATCCTTAACCCTGTTGTCTCCTCCCAATGGTGATACAGATCTCCTATTGAAAAACTATATAATGGAACCCATCTTCAGTACCTCACATGTTAAGTCACTTTATCCTTGCAATAGCCCTAGGAAGAAGGCACTATCATTCTGTCCATTTTACAGCAGAGAAAACAGGTGCTGAGAAGTCACTTTGCCAGACTCATGGCCCAGTGCAGAGGGCAGAGCTGGGATTCAAGGCCAGTTCCAACGTCCAGACCCATAATGATATCACAGTCTGGCCTGCCTCTCTGGAGAGCGGACAGACCCTTTTTGAAACTGGCTCAGTTGTTGAACAGCCAAGGATGGAAAGTCAGACAGTATGTGGCAAAGGGGTCAGGGGAATCCTCCTGCTGGGGTCTGAGTCAGAACAACTGTCCTTCAGCTGGAATAGGAGCTGATGGAAGCCAAGATATTTCCTATTTTTATTTTCTTTTTGAGACAGAGTCTGGCCCTGTCACCCAGGCTGGAGTGCAATGGTGCGATCTCAGCTCACTGCAACCTCTGCTTCCCAGATTCAAGCGATTCTCCTGCCTCAGCTTCCCGAGTAGCTGGGACTACAGGCTCGGACCACCATGCCCAGCTAATTTTTGTATCTTTAGTAGAGATGGGGTTTCACCATGTTGGCCAGGCTGGTCTTGAACTTCTGACCTCGTGATCTGCCCACCTCAGCCTCCCAAAGTGCTGGGATTACAGGCATGAGCACCTGGCCAAGATTTTTTTTTTTTTTTTTTTTTTTTTTTTTTTTAGTAAGACCAAGTTTGACTTTTTAGTGGAACCTGTACCTCTCTGGAGAACTTGAGGGAGTCCATCCATGTGAGCTCTGCCCACTCTGGAGTTGGGGCGTGGACTGGCCATGCCTTGAGTTGTCTGCATGGTTACCGGGCCAAGGGGAAGACTGAATTTCTTCTGAAGGTTGGGTCAGCTGCTTCCACTGGCCCCAATCCATTTACACCAATGATCCTTCTCTACCAAGGGCACTGGACTTGAAAAACCCATTTTTCTCAACTGGATCTGTGGAGGTGGAGCCAAGTGGCATCTTAGCTCTGCTTTTAAAAATGAGGGATAGGCCTGGCACAGTGGCTTATACCTGTAATCCCAGCACTTTGGGTGGTCGAGGCAGGCGGATCATGAGGTCAGGAGTTCGAGACCAGCCTGGCCAACGTGATGAAACCCTGTCTCTACTAAAAATAAAAAAATTAGCTGGGTGTGGTGGCAGGCGCCTATACTCCTAGCTACTCAGGAAGCTGAGGCAGAAGAATCACTTGATCCCAAGAGACAGAGGTTGCAGTGAGCCAAGATAATACCACTGCACTCCAGCCTGGGCAACAGAGTGAGCCTCTGTCTAACAAAAAAATTAAAAAATTAGCCAGGTGTGGTGGCACTTGCATGTAGTCCCAGTTACTTGTGAGGCTAAGCTGGGAGAATTGCTTGAGGCCAGGAGGTCAAGGCTGCAGAGAGGGATGATCACACCACTGCCCTCCTGGGCAATAGAGCAAGATCCTGTCTCAAAAAAAAAAGAAAGAAAGAAAGATAAACACTCGGCCGGGCGCGGTGGCTCATGCCTGTAATCCCAGCACTTTGGGAGGCCGAGGCGGGTAGATCACGAGGTCAAGAGATCGAGACCATCCTGGTCAACATGGTGAAACGCTGTCTCTACTAAAACTATAAAAAATTAGCTGGGCATGGTGGTGCGTGCCTGTAATCCCAGCTGCTCAGGAGGCTGAGGCAGGAGAATTGCCTGAACCCAGGAGGCGGAGGTTGCGGTGAGCCGAGATCGCGCCCTTGCACTCCAGCCTGGGTAACATGAGTGAAACTCCATCTCAAAAAAAAAAAGATAAACACTCTACTGGAGGATGGCTGTAATTTTTAAAGTTTTAATAAAGCAGAAAATAAATGTTGGCAAGGATATGGAGAAACAGGAACCCTCGTACACTGCTGGTGGAAGTGTAAAAGGTGCCGCCACTGTGGAAAACAGCTTGTGTTAAAATCCTTGTGTTAAACATGAAGTTAGCATGTGACCCGGCAGTTCCACCCCTGGGTGTGTAGACCCAAGAGAAGTGAAGACTCAAAATACTTGTAGTCAAATGCTCATAGCAGCACTATTCACAACCCAAATGTGCGTCAGCAGATGAATGGGTGAACAAATTGCAGCCTATCCACACAATGGAATATTATTCAGCCATGTGAAGGAATGGGGTGCTGACCCATGTTACAATAGGGGATAAACCTGCAAAATACCATGTGAAGAGAAGACTGTCACAATAGGCCACTTACTGCATGACTTCATTTATATAAGTGTCCAGAACTGGCAAATTCCTGGAGACAAACAGCAGGTTGCCAAGGGCTGGGAGAGGGGGAATGGGAGTGACTGTTTATGGGTACAGGTTTCCTTTGAGGGTGACAATGATTTGAAACTGGACAGATGAATGCCCAACATTGTGAATGTGCTAAAAGTCACTGAATTGTTCTCTCGCAAATGGCTGACATTTGGCCAATTTTACCTCAATTAAAAAAAAAAAAAAAGGCTGGGTACAGTGGCTCACACCTGTAATCCCAGCACTTTGGGAGGCTGAGGTGGGCGGATCACGAAGTCAAGAGATTGAGATCATCCTGCCAACATGGTGAAACCCCATCTCTGCTAAAAATACAAAAATTATCTAAGCGTGGTGGTACGTGCCTGTAGTCCCAGCTACTCAGGAGGCTGAAGCAGGAGAATCACTTGAACCCAGGAGGCAGCAGTTAGAAGACAGGGCGCCAATAAGAAAAGTGAACAACAGTCCAGCAGCTGCGTCACTGGTGATATTGAGGAAATGGGGAATCCACTCTTTTTTTCTGTATATTTATTTATTTATTGAGATAGTGTCTTGCTCTGTTGCCCAGGCTGGAATGCAATGGTGCAATCTCAGCCTACTGCACCCTCCACCTCCCAAGTTCAAGCAATTCTCATGCCTCAGCCTCCCCTGTAGCTGGGATCACAGGCATGCACCACCACACCCACATAATTTTTGTATTTTTAGTAGAGATGAGGTTTCACCATGTTCAAGGCCAGGCTGGTCTCGAACTCCTGACCTCAAGCCATCTACGCACCTCACCCTCCCAAAGTGCTGGGATTATAGGCAAGCATGAGCCACCACACTAGGCCAGGAGTCTACTTTTATACCTGCATTAGTCTGTTTTCACACTGCTGTAAAGAACTAACTGAGAATGAGTAATTTATAAAGAAAAGAGGTTTAATTGATTCCTGAGGCAGAGGCCTCAGGACACTTACAGTCATGGGCAAAAGGAGAAGCAAGTCATGTCTTGCACAGTGGCAGGAGAGAGAAGGGGAGAGAGCCACACACTTATCAGACAACCAGATCTCATGAGAGCTCTATGATGAAAACAGCGTGGGGGAAACTGTACCCATGAGCCAGTCACCTCCCACCAGGTCCCTCCCTTGACACTCGAGGATTGCAATTCAGATTACAATTAGAGATGACATTTGGGTGGGGACACAGAGCCAAACCATATCAATACCCAAAGTGGTGTTTCCTGTAGATGGTCCGGGGGTGGGCAAAACAAAACTCTGGCTGGAGAGCGGGGGTTAACAGCACCCGGAGGAGCCCACCCACGTGTGTACCAACCAGTGTTCCCCGGGGATCCCCCATCTCATCTCGCTCCAGCATCAGGGAACTGGGGGGGAACCTGAGAGCACGAGTATCCTACAGCCTTCACACTCATGTTTCTGAATTAAATTCAATAGGAGGCAACCTTCAGTTAAAAGCTCAGGTCCTGGAGCTAAACGGGTTCAAATCCGTTCTCCAGCACTAATTCGTTCATTAGCTGGGTCCTGCCTCTCTCTGCCTCTGTTTTCCTAGGGGCAGTGGCAAGGACCCACAGCCTCAGGGTTGTGCCAGACTAAGCGAGTGAATACATGGTAGTGCAGAGAACAGTAGCTGGTGCAAGTCGA